TATCTAGACAGTCAATGGTATGATCTAAAATAATTGAAGCAAAGTAATGAAACCAATTGTCTAAAATGACGTTAAAATCAACTTCTTTTCCTTCAAAAGATCGATTGTTTCTTTCTTTCCAAATGACCCAAAAAATGGTGAGAGGAATGAGTTTGAACTTTTTCTTGCTGTTGCCAAAGACTTCCCAAGCAAAAAGTTCAGATAAAATAGATTCATTCCTAACCCAAGATAGACCAACCAATCCGAGCGCAGTGGACCACAACTTGTGGTTATCCTATGAAGCTCTCTCCAATTTGTACCTAAAAATAATTGTCAAATTATCTGGTTGTTTAGATATTTAGATGTATTGAATTTTGTTCAAACTAATTCCCATCAAAGAGAAAAATTTAATCTGGGATCAGGATGTTGTCATTGGGCGGTTAACAACAAAATTGTTTTCTAACAAAAGGTTAACACTCTTATTATTAATGCGAGAGCGAATTATTTTGTGAAAATAGATTACAGCTTATCAAAGAGAGCTGGTACCGTAAATCTCATTAGAGAAAGTCCAATCTCGTAACTTAAAATAATACTGTAACTTATTTATTAATAGCAAACACACCTCTTTATATAAAGATTACAATTCTTATTTAGAAATTCTAATTTAGTTAGGAATCTAAATCTAATTAGGAATATTTTTACTAAAATATTGAAAATTCTATACTATTTAGGAATTCAATACTAATGAGAAATTATATATTATTTAAGAATTTAATTCTAATTAGACTTTCAACTATTTATGAATTTAAATTAATTAAGATTTCATCTTTAATTGAACTTTAATTTCTTATTTAGTCGTTGTCTTGCCTTCTATATTTATGCTCTATAAATGCGTTCATAACATTTTGGGTCAGATTAACTTGTTATCCAGTGTCGCATTCAATCCTCAGTTAGATTAGCTTTTTACATTGGTGACTCGAAACAAACGACTCATCACAGTTATAAAACAACCCCTTCAGCTTCCTTTCTGCCATTTCTACCATTGTTAGTTTCTTTATAATCGGAGAGAAAACATTATCAGATTGTGTTGTAATGTTGCTGCCATGTAGAACTAATATTTTCTGAATTGAATTGTTAGGCTTGGTCACGGATTATTATTGTGTTTGGTCATAATTCACAACTGTTGTTTCCTTTCAAAAGCTCTGACCATATTCATTGCGTGCACAAGTGGTGGGTGATTGTATCTCGACCTCTAAGCGGAGACAATCAATTAGTCGTGCTATGAACAAACTTACATGCTGATCAACTCGAGCGAACTTGTTTGGTTTTGTCAGTTTTTATTGGAACTGCTGTTGGCAGTCATCAATTGATTTCATCTGTTTCTAGTTTACCAATTCCTCTAACAGGTTACTTTCGGCTGGCGGCCCAAATATCAGAGAACAATAATGTTTGAATGCAGTCCAGTTGAGTGTAGGTTGTTCATATTCTAATTGTTGGTATCGCAAATGCGCCTCTCCAAGCATATGGAAGGCACCTAATCCCACCTTATCCCATTCTGGCGTGTGTTGGTTGGTAAAAATTTTTTCACACTGATGCAGCTATATTAGGGGATCTTCAGATCCGTCAAACGTTGGAAAGTCTAATTTAGTGTAGCGAGGAACAACTTCGTTACTTGGAGGATTGTTTGCATTCTACGACTGACTTCCGTAGTGAAGCGCTTGAGGTGGCTGTTCTTGGGGGTGGTTGCTGTTTGCAGTCTCTGGGGTCCGTGCCTCATTTGTGGTATAAGGACTTCTTGGAGCATCAATCGCAAATCATCTTTTGTTGCAGAGTCACTATTGTGTTAGGCTCTGATATCAATTTGTTATGATTTTGAAATCAGGATCTTATCAGTTGGCGGTTAATAATAAAGTCGTCTTCTAACAAAGGGTTAATACTCTTGTTCTTATTATGAGAGCGACATATTTTGTGAAAGTAGATTACAACTCATCAAAGGGAGCTTCTATCTTTGATCTCATTAGAAAGAACTCTAATCTCGTAATTTAAATAATATTTTGATTTATTTTTATTAATAACAAACATACCCCTTTATATAAAGGTTACAATTCTTATTTAAGAATTTTAATATAATTAGGAATCTAAATCTAATTAAGAATATTCTACTAAAATATTGAAAATCTTATACTATTTAGAAATCTAATACTAATGGAAAATTACATATTATTTAGGAGTTTAACACTAATTAGGATTCTAACTATTTAGGAATTTAATACTAATTAGGATTCCATCTTTAATTGAATTCCAACTTCTTATTTACTCGTTGTCTTGCCTTCTATATTTATGTCTTACAAATGCGTTTATACCAAAAGTATTCAGTACCCATCGAAAAACTTATCCACTCGAGCGACCATTCTTGATCATAGCTTTACTTAAGTGTATACATGGAGAAAGAATCTGAAGACTAAACTGATCCAAGCATCCAACCTTGGTACTGAAACTGAGGTAAGTCTTGGAAAATCTATACTATTGGATATTGATGTACCTATTGCACTCCATAAAGGTACCAAGGAATGCATTAAACATCCTCTTTATCTACTTTGTGTCATTTATAAGTAATTACATTCCTACAAAATTTTTTTTACAAGTTTGAATGCTGAGTCTGTTTCTGATACTGTATCAAAAATATTATCTTGTGAGAAATGAAAAAATGATATTGAAGTGGAAATGAAGTCACTACCTAAAGGAATTGGTGAACCTACTTAAGGGAAAAAAATGTGGGATACAAGTGAGTGTTTACAATCAAATATAAAGTAGATGAGGCAATTGAGAAGTATAAAGTAAGATTGGTGGCAAAGGTCTATAATGGACTTATCGGATAGAATACTAGGAAACATTTGCACCGGTATCAAAGATGCGCTTAGTGCGAATCTTGTTGCCGTTAGTTGCCTACATTGTTTGGAAATTACGACAATATGATGTGAAAAATGCCTTACTGCATGGAGATTCCACCAGGTTTTGCTGCAGAAGTAGGATTAAAAAAATATGTAAATTGAAGAAGATACTTTATGAATTCAAGCAATCACCAAGAGTTTGGATTAGCAGATTCACAAGAGTGATGATAAGTTTGGGATATAAACAGCCTCAGGGAGAACACACTCTGGTTATCAAGTGCTTAGAGACAAAAAATGTTACAGCTCCTTTAATATATGTTGATGAAATTATTCTAACAGTAATTTGGTTTTTTGAAATAGAAAGTGTAAATGTATATTACTATAAGCACCAAGGGTTGCAAACCATGTACAATTATTACAGTTCAGTTCTCAGAACAAAAATAGACTCTAAGAGCCTCAAAAAACATAGGAGGATGACCCAACAACAAAAATTCTAGGATGTTAAGCCATCTATTTTTAAAAACATCATAACCTTTTACATCATCTATGCCATCAATGCCCTTCTATTCCTTTCCTTTCAAACAGTCCATATAAGTGTAAGTAGGATCAAATCAGCAAAATACACCTGTCTCTTAGATATCTCAAGCCCATACTCTTCCCTGACAGAGCAGCATCACCCAGCT